GGTGGCACCGTGCCGGGGAAGGGGTGGTGTTGGCAGCCGCTGGTGCTCGGCCTAACGCTGATTTGTCCAATGCTTGTCTGGCTTCCAGGGTCGGGCCGCGTCACCTTTAACAACCAGCGCAGCTATCTGAAGGCGGTGACTGCTGCGTTTGTAGAAATCAAAACTACCAAGTTCACTAAAAAGGTGAGTGGAGCTCATGGGATAGCCCAGGGCGTTGAAGGTGTGTGACGAGTGGAACTGCTGGGAGCACCAGGGTCCGCCTCACCTGCCCTGTGTCCCTGGGGAAGCGGAGGGAGGTGGTAGACTGCCCCTCTGCCTGCCCTGAGGGGTGCTGGTGATGGATTTGGGGTACCCAGGGCGATGGGTTGGTGCCCGGGGACTGCCCAAGGAGTGGGCAGTTGCCCCTGCGCTGCTCCGTGCCCACTGCCTGGTTCTCCCGCAGGTTCAGATCGACCCGTACCTGGAGGACTCCATGTGCCAAGTGTGCAGCACCCAGCCTGGGCCTTTCTTCTGCAGAGACCAGGTAAGGCTGTGCCCAGCTCCCGGCTGCTGGGCCTGGTGGATCCCTCGAGGAGGAGCAGGCTCCGCTGCCCACAGCGGCTGTGGTCTCTGGGGATGCCCACTGCCCCTTGCCAAGCGGGGAGGATGGAGTGTTCGTGCAGGAGCCCCAGTGGACCTTTGCTTGGGAGGGAGGGCAGCTCCGGTGCTCATGGGGAGGTAAAGGGTACCCTGCCCCCGGGGGGCGCGGGGGGCCCTGCCCCTCTGCCAGCCGTGATGAGCTGGAGGTCAGGGTGCTGTCACCCCGCAGTTGGTCTTGGGGCTGCCTGAAACGCAGGGGCGTCGTGTCTGACCCCTGCTCGCTGTGGGCAAAGGAGCTTGGCCGGAGTCCTGCTGCTTCCCGCAGAGCCAGGATGAGCAGCAGCATGCCTCGTTCTGTGGGGCGGGATGGCAGTGGGGGCACAGGAATGTGGGCTGCTGCCCCTGCCCAGCTGGTGGGCGGAGGTGCCCCGGGAGGCTGCTTCTAGCTCCTGCCCAGATCCCGATTTATTTAAGCATCCATGCTGGAAGCTCAGCAGGACACACCCTCTGGCAGCATGGCTGGAATTCCCTCCTCCTGCTCCAAAGAGCCTTGGGCTCATGGGCTGCAAAACCAGGGGGAGGGAGTGAGGAAGAGGATGCTGCTTCCCTGGCATGCAGTCCCTGCCCCACAGCCTTGCCCCTCTGCTCTCCCCACAGATCTGCTTCAAGTACTTCTGCCGCTCCTGCTGGCACTGGCAGCACTCCATGGAGGTCCTGCGTCACCACCGCCCGCTGATGCGCAACCAGAAGAACAGAGACTCCAGCTCAAGAGGCTGGCGTGGGGCCGCCGCAGGCGCGGGAGAAAGTCCTTTTGTTAACCTGCCAAGCGGAGAGCGCACGAGCGTGCCTGCTGGTGCCGGACCCAGGCTGGGAACGCGCTTCCTGAGGACTAATGGGGAAAAAAAAAAATCTTACATTCACGTTTGCACTTGCTGGTCTTTTTGTTTCTGCACTAATGCACAGTGAATTTTGTCGGGTTTTGTTTGGGGGGTTTTTTGAGGGGGGGGAGCACCCCTCAAGCGATTCTGCAGTTCCCAGACTTTGGTTCCTAGTTTGCTGACGAGAAGCAAAAAAAAACAAAATAAAAAAGGGCCACGTGTTGAGAAGGTGTTTATGCAGATGCCTTCACCTCGGTTTTTTATTTATTAAAGGCGCTTTTTTACATTCCTTGCAATACTGATGGTAATAATGCAGGTCTCATTGGCTCCATTTTTTTGCAGTTGCCATACAGTGCCTTTCCATTCATTTAACCCCCATCTGAACGGCATAAACTGAATGTTCAGCTGGCGTTTTTTACTGTAACAACAAGGAGACTTTGCTCTTCATTTAAACCAAATCATATTTCATATTTTACGCTCGAGGGTTTTTACCAGTTCCTTTTTACACTCTTAAACAGTTTTTAAGTCGTTTGAAACGAGAGATTTTTTTCTTTCCTGGCAGCTTTTAACATTATTGCAATTTGTGTCTGGGGGCTGCTGGTGGAAAGTTGTAAATCGAGGGGTTTGCAACAGAACAGGACAGGCTTTTTTTTGGATTTGAAACTGGACCGGATAAACGATCTCTGAGCTGCTGTATATAGTTTTAAATAGTTTGTTGCACTTTTTTAAGTTGCACTTGAGGGGGGTTGATAGAGGTTTTTAATCACACAAAGTCACAGGACTTAAATTTTCTTTTGTAACTAGCTAAAAAAGGGCTGTGTTTCGGTGGACAGATGAAGGTTCATAGGAGCCCTTTCTCTTAGAGGGGACGAGTACTTTTTCCTTTCCTTTGCGGAATGTACGGAGTAATGGTGCAGTTGACTGAAATGCTGCTGCTGGGATTTGAGAACTCTATTTTGTTGGTTGGTTTGTTTTTTTACTTTCCCCTCTATTGGAAGCTGTGTGCCAAA